AAAAAAAAAAAAAAAATTGTAATAATATATACTGATAACAAAAGATGAATACAAGTCATGTTTGACTTCTGCAATTACAAGAGGTGCTCAAATGGTTACCATCAGCTTCCAGAGACTTCTGATTATGGCAAACTAGAAGTAATACATAGATAGCATCTCTTAAAATGTATCTACATTTTTTTCGGTACTCCTGGTATACATAACAAAATTTTCTGTCTTATCCATTTTTTAAAAATTATTGGCCGGGCTCAGTGGCTCAGCCTGTAATCCCGCGCTTTGGGAGGCCGAGGTGAGTGAATTGCCTGAGCCCGTGGGTTCGAGACCCGCCTGGGCAACTTGGCGAGACCTCATCTCTACAATAAATCAAAAAAATCAGCTGGGCATGGTAGCATGCGCCTGTAGTTCCAGCTACTTGGAAGGCTGAGGCGGAAGGATCGCCGGAGCCCAGCAGGTCGAGGCTGCGGTGGCCGGGAGCAGCCACTTCACTCCAGTCTGGGCGACAGAGTGAGACTCCAACTCAAAAAAAAAAATTACTATTACTCTTTTTTTTTTTTTTTAGATACAAGGTCTTACTCTGCTACCCAGGCTGGAGTGCAGTGGTGCCAATAATAGTTCACTGCAGCCTCAAATTTCTAATTCAAGTGACCCTTCTGCCTCAACCCCATTAGTAGCTGGAACTGCAGGTGTGCACCACCATGCCTGACTAATATTTTTATTTTTTGTGAAGATGGGTTGGAGGGGGAGGTCTCACTAATTTGCCCAGGCTGGTCTCAAACTCCTGGTCTCAAATTATCTCAAAGCACAAGGATTACAGGTATGAGCCACCACACCTGGATCATCTTAACTATTTTTAAGTGTCTAGTTCAGTCATGTTGAATATATTCACATGATTGTGCAGCATCCCCCTGATTCTTACCTCCCAAAGAGTCCTGAGATCCACTCACTTCCCTCCAATGATTTGAGAAAGCCCAAGCAGCCACGTGCTGAGAGACCCACATGGAAAAGTATCCAGGTGTCTGGCTTACACCCCAGCTAAGCTCTGCAGACAGCC